CTGCTGTGCATCCGATTCTTACTAAATCTGATACCAGTCAATCCGATCAAATGACTTACAGATCGATTGGACAGAGTCTGATTAAATAATTTGAGTTGCTTTTCTAAGGGGTTTGCTGTAAGTTAAATTGTGGGTATCAATTGAAGTACATGTACACACCTCTAGTAATAATGAAGTGATAGTTTAATTATTAGTTCCAGTTAATAGCGGTTAATGAAAGCAGCATGTCCATATGATGTTTGCCTTTGACTCTGGCTTTCAGGTTCTCCCACTATATTCCTTCCCTTGCTGCTGCTGCTTAGACTTCAACACATGCAAAACACTGCTCTCTATGTACTTGCATACCCTAAAATCATCACTTCAAATCTACCTTCAGCCTCCACAGGCATTTAAAAAAACAAAAAAGAACAAAAAAGAACCCAACCTTTTCAAATTTTATATTATTTTTATTATTATTTTGAGAGCTAGTTAAAAAAATATATATATATCTGCCTTTGTAGTTCAGCCTTGTTTTCAATTCCTCTGTATTCCAGTTGTCTTATAAACAGGACTTAACATGTTCATGAAGGCTTTCCAGGTCTCTTTTGTTTAAAATTGATTTCTTTTTCTTTTGTTTTTCCTTTTCCAGCATCAGTGATCCATTCATTTTCAACTTGTGTCATAAAGAGCATGTTGTGGGAGATCAGAGATGTTTCCGTTACTCATATCATGATTTAAAAGAGATCCGTCTAATGCGCTTTCTCCTGCAGGTAGGAACTAACATGCTTGATCATTTGAGTGAAAGCTGCTGCAGCAGTAAAATTATGTGACTGAAAACTACTTGTATAATTTTCACTAAGACTGTTGAGGTTTTTCTGAGCAAAAACCACCCTCAATGGAGTGATTGGCTCGTTAATTGTTAGGCTGACAGTATTCTTTACAGTCCAACTCAGTGTTTTTGAAAACAAGCTTTGAAATCATTTTTGTTTTGACTAAAGTTTCCAGTAAGCATCTAATTTTTCAGTGATATTCAGTACATAGTTCATGATGTATGTGAGTTGGACAGTTTCAGCAGAGATCTACTTCAGGATATAGGATATGGGGTACTGAAGTGGTTAGGTCACTATCCAAACATGTACGGAAATGTTAAGTCTTGTTATGAGTAACTGTATGAAGCACATTTTCTTACATCACCTGATGAGCAATCAGAGCAACAGAACGGTCACCTCTTCCTCCATTTCTCCTCCTAAGTAGAATCTTACTTTCTTCACATGTGTTTGTATCTATACATGGATTTGTTTTGAACAAGAGAAAAGGAAGTGTTTTGTGTTACACAAACTGAAAAATAGAGACCAGTGAAAGTAGTCATTGATTGGACCTCGGGTGAAAGTGTGAAGCTGTGCTTCAGATAAAGCTGTTTATTGTCGTAGCTGCTTTTATATACCCTTTCTTCTTCATATTTTATTTGTGAATCATGTATGGGCTGTTGTCATTCTCTTGTTTTCTTAGATTTGTATTACACCTGCCGTCTTTGGATTGAAACTCATGTCTGGCTTCCCAGATACAATGCATCATTTGTAATTTTACCTGGCTGACTTTGGGGAGGGTGGAGAAGGGACTGATCACTGGGTAAATTACAGGAGTGTATGCAAATGACCAACTTAACCTGTGTGAGGATATTGTGGAAAAAGGCTGAAGGTGTAACTTTTCTTTTTTAAAGCTTCAGTGAGAAACATCATAAACTCCCCTTCCTCTTCCACTTCCAGTCTTAAATGAGTAGTAACCAACAATTTTGAAAGTTGCAGGGTTTCTGTTTGGAAGAAACTTTTACTTAGGATCCCCCCTTCATATACCTATTTAGAAGTTAATACTACTTGTGTTATGCTATTCGCACCAAGATTTCAAGACAAAAACAGAAGTAGCAGATGTTGGGTGATGGGATCAGTATCTAGGCTTTGATTTTGCTTCACAGAAGCATTCATAATCCTAGTCAACCCAGTACAACCATTTCTATAGATGGAGAAATTGGGAACATTAGGTCTATTTTGCTATGCTTTTTCACACTTGCTATGAAGTCATGGCCTTTGTTTTTAAAGCCTTGAAGAACTTGAGAGCCCATAGTGGGCTCTTCACAGCACTCATCTTAGCTCTTCACTGCTTCAACCTGCAAATGATTTACCTTTCTAGGAGATCGCCTTAGAAATATTCTTCAAAAATGGTTACTCCAGATTTCTTGTCTTCCATGACTGTGACCGAAAAAAGATATTTAAGAGGTAATAACTTCATAATTTCATGTGTATGGTCTGTGTTTATCTTGGCTTCAAATTTCTGTCTTTGTGCTGTCTCTTTCTTTGATTAGAACTTTTTGGTCTTTAATGACTTGCATATAAACAAAGCTATGAAACTTCATTTGCTGACTTATGAATTCTTTGGAACATTACATAGTCATTGATTTATCAAGGGAGCTAATGCATCTGTAATACTCTTCTAGCACCTGATGGCGTGTTGTTATATATCCTTGCATCCCAGAGAAATGCAATTGTAGCTGTGCTGCTTCCTTTCCCTAAAGATCCTTCTGCTCCTGAAATCTCTGAGCACTCTAATGGGGAGCATTCCTTAAAAGGCCATTGTGAATTTATCCACTTCTCCTTTCTAAACTGGACTTCTTAAAATTACCAGATTCTGCCCCAGAGATGGCTGCTTTTAGTCCTTATCTTAGCTGTCTCTTAGCTCTGAAATGCATGCGTTGGAGTGATCTCGCTGAGGGCAGTTCAAGACAGTGCATTAGTCTTCAACTGCCTGTCTTGCCATTCAGCTGCAGGTTACCAAACCTATGGGTTTAATGTCTGACATTAAAAAAAAAAAAAAAAAAAAAAAAAAAAAAAAAAAAAAAAAAAAAAAAAAGAAGAAAAAAAAGAAAAAAAAAACCCCAAAACCTACTGGAGGTAAAGAGGTGGGAGGCTGATATGTGAGTTGGTGTACCTTTCTGCCACTTTTGCCAGCAGGCTGGTAAATGTCAGAGAGGATTCTTTTCCTCTGGGTTTAATTAGTACCATCCTAAGCCACTTGATCATAAGTTATTACTGATCAATTCAAAGCCTTATTTAGGAAAGCAACTGTTTTTATCCAGCCCACAGACAATTCCTTAACATTAAACATATGTTTTTGCTGTGTCGTCTTGCAACTTTATTCTGGGTTGGTGAAAGGCTGGGAGGCTGGGACATTCCCTTGCTATAGGCAGGGACACCTCCAAGTTGGTTTAGTGGGAGATGTCCCTGCCTGTAGCAGGGGGGCTGGAACAAAATGATCTTAAAGGTCCCTTCCAACCCAAATCATTCTATGATTCCATGATCCTTCATAAGAAAAGTTGCAGTTAAGGTATGATGGTGTTTAATAGATTATATACGGATATGAGATGATACACATACATCCTCTGTACAAATAACTGTTTAAAAGATTGTTTTGTTATTTTTTTATCTGTAGATTTTGCTTTTTCCAACCTGCTTTGAAGTCAAAGGGGGTAACAGAGGAGTCCCTGAATGTAAGGTAAAAACATGAACATTGGATAACAGTAGAAAATAAGAGAAAACACATTATTAAATTGTACCTTAAAAACATACAAACAAAAAAATGGAAATTGGAAACCTAGCTCTTTGTGCTCTCTGTTTTAAAGATTCAGTTGTGTCTCCAGAACTCTAAAGTGTTCTAGTGTACAGCATCCATGATTTGAAGGTATGAGGAATGTGTTAAGTAGCTGACAGTGCTTAGTTGATTAATAATTATTAACTCCTTAATATGATTTTATGGTAAACTCTACACAGATGGTTACTGTGGGATAGAGACAGTCAGTGAGGTGAGGCTACAAAGCTAATCCATAATGTTTCTACATAATGGGCTGTTTATTGTGTGTTTAGAGTAGACAGTGACAGATGTGTGCGTGGAAGTTTTGGCATGCTACAGTAACAGTGCATTGGAGATTCCAATTTGTGGTTCATCAGATTTACTGCTGCAGGAAAAGAAAGCTTTCCCTTCCGGTGTCAGTTGAATGAAACCATGTTCAGTGCAGACACTGAGTTATTTGTATAGCTGCAGATCTTTTCCAATTGGGTGTGTGAGGAATACACCCCTGAGGGCCTGACTAGTGTACTCTGGAATGATCACTTGGAGGCAGAATATTGTTGAGATCTGTGGAGTTGTAGTATCTTGTTTGTGTGACCTCTGCTTCCCTTTTTTTGTTTGTTTTCATTCCACCTGTTGCAGGTCGTTACTTATCTTTGAAGTGAATGCTTTCACCTTGAGTACCAGCCATCTGCTTGCAAGAAGTATCATTGCAGTGTGCAAACAGCTCTGGCTAGAGCATAATCTGAGCTAGAAATGATGGTTAACTCTATAGAGATGGTAGTGTTCTGTGACATTTAAAATTGATAATCTTTTTTGATATTTCTGGACCACTGAATGCTTCACCCATGGCACTTCATTCTTCATTTAAATACAGTTAAATCTGTGCTGCCAACATGTTACTGAGGCTGCAGCCAGCAGCTATTCATGTGCCATGCTCAACTACTTTTATAATCTGCTCATTGCTTGCACTTGTATATTGTATTCACTGAGACTGTGGATGACTACGCCTCACCCGATGAAAATTAACAAAAGTAACGTTTGGGGGGCTAAGTGGTACGAGATAATTACTAGAAATAACTATTTTTGTAAAGTTTCCCTTCAGTGGACATGTGACAAGGACATAAAGTTCATAACAAACAAAAAAAAACCCACAAAGAACCAGAAGAACATGTTGTAGGAACAGGCCCAGGTGCTAGAACATAGTCTTTCCAATGTGGCCTTTTTAAAATGTACATTTGTTTTACTTATTTGGGATTTGGTTTTAGATACCGCCTCAGATCTGCTTCTAAAACTGGGTGTCTTTAAATGAAGAGAACTGCAGAAAAAGGCAGGTGGATAGCTTTTTAATTAGCTTGAGCTAGATTTCATAGGACATGGCCCATGGAGCACGACTGTAGAGTTCAGAGATGTTCATCTTTTAATCTCCATTGTTCTTGGTTATCCATTGCAGTGGAGTTGGGTGTAAGGAGTAAAGGGAAACTGAGCTTCTTGGAGGGGCAGGACATTGTGTTCTTCAACTTGCTTAGTTTGCCCCTTTCTTCCTGACAGGTCTTCAGGCAGGAACAGCATAGGTCTTTCTCTTGTACTAAGTAAAGTGATTCTACACGCTTGATGGGGTCAATGTACTCTTCTTTTTTTGGCTCAGGGAAAGGGTTTCTTTCTGCATTCAGTTTCTGGAGCCTGGGAAGCGTTTTCACACTCTTTGGGATAGTGGTCAAGAAGTTGTCAAAGAGACCTAACTCCTTAAGTTCCTTCAGGGCCCCAAGTGTGGAGGGGATGTTGTCAAGACAGTTCAAGCCAAGATTGAGAATACGCAGGTTTTTTAGAAGGTTCAACTCTTCTGGCAAGGTTTTGCTGTTCAGCTTGTTGTTACATATATTCAGGTAGAAAAGATTCTGAAGTGTACCTACTGTCTTGGGCAACTCTTCGAGCTGATTGCTGTGCAGGTCCAGCCAGCGCAGTTTCTGGAACTTTTCAATGCTGTTTGGGATCTTTTTTAGCATGTTTCTACTCAAATCAAGCTCATCCACATCAGCCAGTTTTAGAATGCATTTGGGAAAGGTAGTGATACCCATCTTACTTAAGTCAAGACGACGGCCTCCATCAAAAGAGATCCTGATAGAATTTTTTGCAGTTTTCAAGGTGATTTTTTTTCCTTTAGGACCTTTTCCTTTTCCCTTGGCCATCTTTCCTCAGAGAAAGACAAACACACCAGACTCTGGAAGAAGCGGGGAGCCCCAGCCTTTGAAAGCAGTGACTGTTAATTCCTAATTAAAAACAGAATAATGTCTTAGTCAACAATTAACACGACTGTAGAACTCATCAGAGGTCTTTTTTTTTTTTTTTTTTTTTTTAAGCTCATGACTTTTCAACGCTTGGGCTGCAACTTTGAAAGGCTTTCCTGAAAGCATTTTGAGTAGGTGAAATTCTAATTATTAAAAATATAATTTTATTGCACCATGACACTTGCATTGCTCTGTAAAGCAATGTAAGTATTACAGGATGAAATTAAAAGTATTACAAGTGGGAGAAATTTGCTGTCTTTCATCCCTAGATACTGGTTTGAGCCCAGCATGTAATGAAACCGAATGAAATACATTATCCATTTGCTGTATGAGGACTCAGGTGAAATATATTATGGGTCTCAATGCAGTCCTTGAGGATAGCACTAAAAGAAAGCACTGTTGTAGGTATTTGTAGCAGACTAAAAGGTTACTTTTTTAAAATTTTATTTTACAGTCCTGGCATCGGAGGATAGGTTGGTTAAGTGTCGTGTTGAATGGACCCGAGACTTTCAGCTCTGGACAATACTGAAAGAAAAACTGAATGTTTAAAGCAAATGACCGAGAGTTTTTCTTTAAGTGGGATCTCAGAGACCCAGTTGGCTCACAGATTTGCCAGAACTGGTTACAATTGCTTGTTGATAGGTTAAGCTAGATCACAGAGTCTCTCTGTGCTCTTAAGCACAGACTCTAGATACTTCTACTTTGTTGTTCTTCCGCACATGTTGAAGGATAAGTGAATTCCCATGGTGAAGGTGTTTTGTCCTCAAATAATGCATGTAAGGGTTCTAGTCAGACTTGTCAACGCTTATACTAAATACGTGCTATGTACTGTGAATGGGGACCTGTGTGAGTAGTAGTAGTCCACTGTAGTCTTAGGGTTGGTGACCTGTCTGTATAATTGAACATCATTAAATATGAATAATAGTCACAGTTAGTGACAAAAGGTGCCATAGAAATGAATGACTCATGCTGAGAGGAGCAGGGGTTAAGCTGGCTAACCATGGGATAGTCTGGGTGCTCTTGCATTTAGTTGTGAAAAGGTAAATTGCAGCTTTGATGGGAGATTGATTGTGACAAAATATGGATTTGTCCACAGTACATTTCCCTATTAAAAAGGCTTCATTACAAACCCTCAGGCTCTTTGGCTACTCATTAATCATGTGCAAATACATGAAGGGGTAGCTCAGGCATTTCAAATACATTCTTTCAAATACATGCCATAGCCAAAGATGATGCAAAAGCAAAATTATCTCTGCATTCCCAGGAGCTCCATAATGAGGCAGTCGCTCCAGGAAGCAACGCAGTGGGGTCAGTCTTGCCCTGAGGATATATTCCAAAATTGACTCTTTCTGATATTTTTAAAAATTGTTTAGAAGGTTAAAACCTACAAGATTCTGTCTCTCACCAGTAATTACAGGGATTTATTAACACTACGTCCGAAGGCCACTCACCCTTTTCTGTATTTAAAGTTACTGCTTCAGGAGCAGTATCATGCTATTTCTTTCATAGTATAGACTGGAAACTGAAGGAAACAAGAAATTACAGTGGAAAATTAAGCATTTTCTAAATGTTAGCTTAAATAATTTGCCCAGGATTGTGCAGGAACCAAATCTTTTTTTTTTCTTTTAATTAGAATTCTCATATTTTAAAGAAGTTGATGGAAAAAGATCTGCAGGACAACTGCCTTAGGCTTGGGCAGGCAGGCTTGGGAGAGAGATTTTCTGCTTCCTGAAATTTATGTGATCTTGGCGATGTTGAGATCCGACTTTTCTCTTTTTGCTTGAACTTCTTGTCTATGTTGGACAAGTTGATGAAGACATTCAGCTGTAATCAGTGAAGGGTTTTTTTTTTTTTTTTCAGCTAAATATGCCTTGAATAGAAATGGAATTGGCCTCAAGGAAAAATGTTTGTTTTCTAAATTCAAAATGATAATCTTTTAGAATACTTTTAAAGACATCTTTAAAACTCTCAGAAGGAAAACATTTTGTTCAGTTCCTAGTGATTTTTTCCAAAACTTTTCAGTGAAAATCCTGAGTGGGGGGGGGGGGGGTTCAGAGTGGGGGAGCAATCCATGGAGAGAAAGTTGCTTTACTTTCGTCCCAAACAGTCGTCTTAAAATAAAAATAATAAAAAATAAAGAACACAACCTTTTGTTTTATTAATGCTGGTTCCCAGAGCTGCCGTTGCTCTGTGCTGTGTGCACCTGGGAACACGAGAGGGAGCCTGGTGTGAACAGCTGAGTGCTGGAGGAAGACTGGTCAGGAATATGAGCGTAGTTTTAATCTTTGAGGTACTTCTCTGCCAATGACCCTCACTGACTTGTTAAAAAAGAAATATTAAATAAACCTAGGTCTTTCAGAGTTTTACAAGTCCAAACAGGTTAGTAATTTTCGTGAAGACAGATCACTTACTATGAGGCACTGGATAATGGCCAGATTTCAAACCACCTTGGTCAGGTCACTTTAGTTGGATTTTTTTTTTTAAATCATACCTTGGATCCTTACTTCATATGCAGTGATGAGGTAAACATGTCCAGGATGTGTGATCACATACTGAGGGGCTGTTTGTTTTGGGTTAAAAGTGGGATCCAGGTTTTAAAATAACTTTTTTTAAAGTCCCAGAGAAAAAGATCAGCATTAGAGTTCTGAAACACCACTGTAGCACACCAGCTTGCAGAGCATGAATATCTCTCTCATCTCTGCATGCTTGTAAACTAATTATCAATGTTTTGCAGGGCTGTAACTGGAGATAATGGAGCTTACTTATCCGTGTCTCATTTTCTTCAGCTTTGTGTAAGAGGCATCCAGTTCTGTAGACACTGGTATTAAAAATTCAGGAATCACAAGAGCCCTCCTTGCTGTAAATATTAATTATACCCATTTGATCTCCTGCTCACAGTGCATCTCTGGTGGTAGCAGAGAAAGAAGTACTTTCCTTGATCCAAGGAAGGCTTGCAGATTACTCCTTACTTGCACAGGGCTCTGCCATGACCCACTGCAGTTTAGGCCTGTCCTAAGCAGATCCATTTAGGCCTAGGAAGCAGATCCAGTGCTAGAAGAATGCAGATTTGGACCCTGGTGCAGTCTCAGCATTTCTTTTTCCTTCCTCAGCATAGTGCTGGCAGGAAGAGATGAAAGGGAGATGGCAGGAAGAGGCTTTCTGCCCATGCTGAACTGGGTGTTTCAAGATCTCCTCTGGGATTCTCCCTGTTCTTTTCCTACCATGGGTTGCTGCTTCCTACTTCACTGCACCCAAAGCCATACAGAACCATCTCAATTCTATCGTGAACTTGCATGTGGAAGAGTTTGTTGTCTCTCCTTGAAGTTTGCATGCTGCAGAGCAGCAGGCCTGTGCAGTCCAGCAGAGCCTCTCTGGGATCAGGACAGTGAGGCAACACGTTCTGGCTCAAAAGAAACAATTTCACATACTGCTTTAAAGCAGCATTCATACAGCAAATGATGTTGCATGAAGCCAACCAGTTCCAACTAGGGGATTGTTTTATTTCCCTGCTTACAAGCCTGTTACCATTTCTTTGTTGTTGGATACGACCTATTGTGGAAGAGAGATTAATTCCCTGACTATTTTAGATGCAGTCTCTTGCTAACAGGCTGTTTGAAACTAAATCCTATCAGAACAAATATATACTGAGCATTTTCCTTTAATTTTTTTACTTTAGATAGCTTTTGTATCAACATGTGCAAGGTTACTTATAAACCAAAACCCACCCCACCAAGGATATACAAAAGTACTGCCTCATCTCAGCAATTCTGCTATCCGCCTACTTAAGATCTTACCAGCTAGCAGAGAGACAGTCTTAAAAGCTGTGGTACCGATGTCACAAGCTGCTTCTTTCTTTCAGCAACATGAGATGAGCCTTCATGGTCTGCTACTGCGCAGTCTTCCTCTGGTCTGCTCCTCTGTGAGAAATGAATTTGTCTTTCAGTTGGTAAAGCAGGGGAGCACAGGACAATTTCCTTTTCAGAGGCCTGTAAATTTTTAATTGGGCTTACTTGAAGGAAAATGGCGGGCCTTCAAGAAACTGTTGTGTATATGAGTTTACTGAGGGGAAGAAGAGTTGAAAAAGAACTTCCCTGGCTACAGTGCTTCTGTTCAGTTCTCTGTCTGCAGCCTATAAAACTTTTGTTCCTAAGCAACAGCACTGCTAGGTCCTTGGAGATCATTAGCATAATGTGTGGTTCCAGCGTGCAAGTTCAGGCTGGAGGGAAAAGAGCTGAACTGCATGTCGTGTTTGGAAATGTTAGATTTCAAATTATGCAGAAAGAAAACACATCTGGACCTGGTTAGAAGCTATTTGTCAGCTTGCTGCCTTAGCTGTCCATTTTAGTCATTTGACCATTTCATTTTACTTAGCTGTAACTCAGTGTGAAATGCCTGCATGTACATGTTAGAACTCCCAACACTTGTGATACCATCCATAGCATCTGTCAGACTGAGTAGATACAGACTAGGAGGAAAAGTTTGTTCTGTCCTGAGCTGCAGCTTGCATTTATCTATCTGTGACCCTTCAAAAGTGCTGTTGCAACAATTCCCTCTTGTATGATGCAAGTTTCCTGGAATTTTTTTGTATAGCTGCAGCTCATGATTTTAGTGGTTGCAATTATTTCAAAATGGTATTTGGAAAAAAAGAACTGAAGAGATATATCTAATGCAATCAACCTGTCAGTTGACAAGTGAGATCTCAAAGCTTGGAGAGAGCATCTCATTTGGACCACCGAGGCCCAGAAGCACAGCTGTTTCAGGGAATGACTACTTTGAGCCTTGCAACTTCTCAAATCAACATATGTATGTTTGTATAGCATGCTTGCAGACTAAGCCAGTTTAGCCCTGTCTGTAATATTTTATTTCCCTAACTTTACGATACTCTCACTATAAAATGCTGCAGGAC